AGAATCTATAATTCTCTGCCCAGTAATAATTCCTCAGGTTAGTGGACTTTCAACACAAGAGAAAATTGGTTTGACCGAGTCCTTATGGAAGTAGGACTGTGAAAGAACTAAGTTTGGACATGGCTTGGTCGAGTTCTCAGTAAAATGTAATTACCCTTGATCAAGATGGGTTCTAATAAAATGTGAATCATTTTACGGATTGGAATTTATTCTTGATCAGATAAATATGAATTAAGTGTATATAGGACTTTCTCAGAGTCTTGGTTCAATTAAAGAAACTGAGGCTGGATAGAGTTTGGGTTTCGACTAAGGAAAAGATAATAGAGGAATATCCAGGGAAATGCTGAGTAGGCACAGTCGCATCAAAACTCTACCTCGGCATACTTTTTTATTACGAAGACCATCCCTATAAATAGAAGAGGTTTTGCAACATGAAAATTCCTTTCAACTCAACTGCTCTACGCGAAACCATTCTCACACCCATGAGAAAAATACAAAATGTCCTAACCCCCTCCCGTCAACATATCTTCAATTTGGATGAGTAAATAGCATTGTGTTGACAAACGAGGACACCTTCAGTTTGGACAAGTAAACAAAACCGGAACCGTAGAATCAAGCAGGATAATAGCACCTTCAGTTTGGACAAGTAAACACCATTGCTTCTAGGTTGGTTGGTTATCTATGCAAATCTTGGCAGTGAATAATTCTTAATTCTTTCTCTCGAAGAGGTCACTTCACCAACTTCTCAGCGAAGTGAAGTGTTCTATGATCGGTTACTCTTAGGTGAATTGTTCAATTCGGCATTCAAACAGCCGAACCACGTTCACTATAAAAACGCTCCTATCTTTTTACTATATTTTTCCTTACAACCTAATACCGATTGAACGCACCTATATTCTTACAACCTCTTCTTCTAGTTCTCGAACCCAAGACAGACGCGTTCCTTCCTCAAACATAGCCACTAAATGTAGAAGTCAGCATCATATTTGACAAAACCACCACACACCTATACTACTCGCTCGACTGAGCTCGGCCACGAGTTGGCATGCTCGCATTCACAAGTAAGACGTAGTTAGTTCATAATTACTTGGTTTGCATGCCATGTAGACTTTATAATTTTTAAAGCTAACAGAGGGAGAATACGATTTAGAAGATTGAGGAAGCTTTCCCTTTGGGTTGATGGCGAGCCCAATGATGTGTCTCAGATGTGGGTATTACCATGGCAGATCATGTATGGTCTAGGTGTGAGCCGATGTTGAACGGTACAAGGCCAAGATTCAACCACATTTTCAAAATAAAAAAATAATAGTAATGAATGACTGAAGTAATAAATAAATAATGGGTTAGATTTGATTTATTAAGGGTACAAATGAAAAGAAAATTGATACCTTTCAAACACATTAAATATTTAGTTTTAAGTAAAATCAAGGTCCAAATGGCATGCAATGAGTGAAAAAAAGTTAAAGAACAATATAAAAGGAAAACGTAGCTAGCATTTTATTTTATACCGTCTCATTGCTATATATTTATTTAGTTTACTACATTGTATCATCTAGTAAAATAACAAAACTTCAACTGCTTTACAAGAAAAAGAAAAGAAAAAAAATTAGAGATCCAATAAAATTTCATTTTTATCCCACTTCATCCAATTTTTTCTTTTTATTTTCTTCATTCCCCTTCTTCTCCGTTTGGTTTATTCCACCAGCAGAATTTAATACTGGAATACAAAATATTTTATTTTATTTCACTTATATATCGGGAGCATTTGCACAAATACCACCTAAATTAGTTGGAGTGTGTCTATTTGCCACCTAAATTAAAAGATTTGTCTAAGTACCACCCAGACTTCAATTTTGGTGCCAATGTACCACACCTTTAATAATTTCTGTTAAATTGTCCGTTAAAGTCTGCGATGCGTGTTATGAAATTTGAATAGTTGTGGTAGTGATTGTGCCGCCTGAGAGGGGGGGTGGTTGTGGTTTAGATCCAGTAAGTGGAGGCGTGGGGAGTGGAGGAAGGTCACTAAGTGAGGTACGATATACCCATTTGTCTCTCTTCTTCTCTTTTCAATATTTTATTTCATTACTTTTTTAATTTTTTATTTAGTTTGAGTTTTCAATAAATTGAAAGGTTGAAACTGGACCCACCTATCTCCCTCGCCGTGTTTCCTATATCATCCTTCCCAACTCCATTTATCCATCCTTCCCCCACTCCATTTTCCTCTCCTTTTCTCACTCAATCGTCCTATCTCGGCCTTATGCGGTATATTTCCCTCCCTTCCCCTTTTTTAAGTTGTTTAAATAAATTTAAATATTGTGATTAAGGTGGTTTAGATAGAAATACACAAAATTATCCTTAACTTAATGACATAATTGGCTGAACATAACAGAGGTGGCAAAACACTTAGTACTACGATTTAGTGGTATTCCACTTTCACTTGTAAATGAAAGGTCTTAGGTTCGATTCTCTCCCAAGATTCTAAAAGACGTTAGGCACTAATCGCGCAGTGGGCTGGGGCCTAACACCTAGGGAGACTAAACGGATTTAAGTAAATCTATTATATTTTGTGTAAATAAATGTGTGCTTATACTTAATATATATATATAATTTCATCATAAAACTACAAAATAGAATGGCATATATATTATGAAGTATTAGAACATAATGAAAACATGGGGAACAACAACATAAGGTCATCTCTAACCGAAGAGTACAGAGTGTTAGAGGGCTGAAAATAACTTGAAAACCGTCTCCAACCGAGGGCTAGGCCAGAGGGCTGTGGAATCTCAGAGGGCCCCATGGAATCGAAGAGGGCTAGAGGGCTAGAGGACTGGCTGCAAGCAGCTAGCCAGCCAGCCCGAGGCTGGCCAGAAATACTGGGAATCCTGTCAGTTATAACTGACAAGAATTTTTAAAAATAATTTTGAAGCCAACGGCTAGCTGGCGCCAGTTACCGTTGGATACAATATAAATACCTAAACCATTCCTCACAAAATTTTCACCATTCCTACCATTTCAGTTCTCATATTTTCCTTCCTCTTTCAAAAATCTATCCTTCAATTTTTTTAATAATTTTGAAATGGCCTCTTCTACAATGAAAGGTAGGGCTTGGACCCGAAAAGAAGATGAAGCTCTTTGCAAGGCTCATAGATGGGTGTCGAAGTTGTTTACCTCTGCCTATACTCCAATGAGTAAGACCTATTTTGATAGGAAAAAAAAAAGAAATTATGAGCCGACGGCAGTTGTTTACCTCTGACTATACTCGTACGATGGCGGATGATGAAGATGATGTTGATTATGGATATTAAATTTAAGTTGTTTTAGTTTTTAAATTTAAGTTAATGTTGTTTTCGAATTTAATTTGTAGTTTTTAAATTTAATTTGTCGTTTTTAAATTTTAGTTGTAATTTTTAAATATATGTTGTAGTTTTTAAATTTAAGTTGTTGTGGTTTTTAAATTTAAATAATAAATTATGTTTGGCCCTTTGGCCCTCAATTAGAGACGATTTTTTGTGGTAGGGCTAAAACGAGCCATCTGGCCCTCTGGCCCTCGATTGGAGACGGAGGCAAATATGGCCATGTACTGTTCATTAAAATATTAATATCTTGGAGAATCTTGGAGGGCCAGAGGGCTAAAACGAGCCCTCTGGCTAGCCATCGGTTGGAGATGACCTAAAGTGTGTTCATTTAAGTATGCAACAAGTCTCTTACAATTTATTAAAAAATAAATAAAATGCAAAATGAAAGTTATCTATGTTCTGTCTAAGTGAGTCGCAACTTAAGCGAGTACCTAGGCAGGTTTGGACGGGCTACATGGGTGCTTAGGTGGGTGCCTCAACATGTCTACGCGCTCTTTCTTAATTTTCAAACACCTAGGCATTAATCGGGACGGTGGCCAGCCGCCTAACGCCTAGGCAGCGCTCAATGGCGATTTTTAGAACAATGTTCTCATCAAAGGGGAATTTGAACATATTATTGCTAGTTCATTATGAGGCTTAGCCCACTTTTTCACCCCCTTAGTATAACTAATATCATTTGTTTTAAAAAAATAATAATAAATAAATAAAATAAAAACAAACAAACAAACAAACAGATGAGCCAATTTAGCACCAAAATAAAAGTCTAAGTGGTAATTGACTAATTAAGCTAAAAATTTAGATTGAGTGGAAAATGGGCACACCCCTAAAAATTCAACTAGAACGTACAGGAAGAAAAAGTCGAGCTTGGACTTGGTACATATTTTAATTTCAACTTCCTTATATAATTCCTCTTAGATTACACGGAAAGAGTTAAATAGATAATTGGAAATATTTTTTAAATCAAAGAAAACCCTGCCCACACGTTACATTATATTGAGAAAAAAAAAAGTGTGATATATGGATTCAATTGCTATAAGAAACACCTGATTAAAAAGTCAAAAATAGACGTGGACGATCATTGAATTCTTCTTGGCGAAACTGAAAAGTTTTAATTGTTATTTTATTTCAAAAGAGAAGGCCACACCCTGTTTTTCTTCGCCCAAACCCACACTTTCTCTGCAGAATGGCAACTATATTTGTGAATTCAGTTCTGTAATTATATACCTAACCCGTTTCAACTTTTAACCCTAACCCTAAAAGCATATATATAAAAAAGGAATAAAATGTTAGGTCACAAACTGTTGCTGCTAATTCGATTCCCGCATGTCGGAGCAAATTTGAGGTGTAAAATTTAAGAAGAGTACAGAAACGAAGTGGATTAATTAGCCGCATAGAAAAAATCACATCATAAAACTTGTGAAAGCCGATGCTCCCTCTCCAAGTATTTACTATCTTCGAAGTCCAATCCATCATATCAGGTGATAAACTATTAATTACTGGCACATATAATAAAAAATTAGATCGAACTGAAATCCTCCGCCAAGCAAAATTACACAAATAAGAAATTAAATAATAATAATAATACACTAGTTCATGAACAATTAATTAGTAGCATAACTGAATTAAAGGTCAGAAACCCAATTGGAAACTAGACATGAATTATTATTCTTTTCCTTGCAAACTGAACATCATCAAAAGGCAGCAAATTAAACTCAAAGAAACTAAAACTAAGCTAGCTTTTATATTTTAACATCCACAAAAACACACCCCCAAAGTTTCTCTCCTTCTTTTTAGATCTTAATTCACATCTCTCACTTTCTATCTTGTTTCTAAAATTTATATTTCAATACAACAAAATGAAAATCCCCCACCTCTTCAGTTTCATCTCACTTTTATTAGAAAGGTGGTCTTGAATGCGCCCAATTAGCATAAGCCTCATGCCCAAGATGTCCATGGCCACCATTGGGGATCAGATTTGGAGGCAGATGATGACTGTAAATATTGGGAAGTCCAGATGAAGGATCAGGGAGTTGCTGCTGCTGCTGATGCCCCCCACTCCCCAATTGGGCTCCACTGCTCCCACCACCATTTGGGGAACCTCCATTATTATGCCCTCCTCCTCCTCCTCCACTTCCTCCACCCTCCTCATCCTCCTCAAGAGGCAGCCTCTCATAAGTAGCATTTGCAAATGTTGCTGCCACCACCATCACTGGGCCTGCCGCCACTAGTGACCCCACCACACTTCCTCCAACCACCTGCCCCTGCCCACCGGCTAAATAAACCGTCAGCCCAGTAGATCCGGGAGGGGCAGGACCGGGAAGGAACGCCCCACTCAGAGACAAAATTTCAAACCTCCCGTGAAGCGCCACCACAGCTCCTGGAGCCGCAGGTTGTCTGAGGGTTACGTTGGCGACCGAGCCACTCCCGCTGAGAACACACACGCCTCTCTGCCGCCTCCTGGCGAACTGCGCCACGCTCTCCGCCACGTCAGCGCCGCCGGCAACCTCCATGACGTGACTACGGAGGGAGTTGGGGCTGTCCCGGGTGACGAAGATGGGGGGTTTGGGCTTGTTTTTGGATCCTGGAGGGCGACCTCTTGGCCTGCGGGATCCAATCTCGACTGCGCCTTCTTTGGGCTCATCATGTTCTCTGTCGTCATCATCGTCTCTGCCACTGCTTCTACCGCTGTTGTTTTCGTTTATGGAAATTTCGAGCTCCCGCTGCTTGCTCAGAGTTGGCGAATTGGTGACTACCGGGTCCATGCCCGGTAGCCCCAAGTTACCACTCCACCAGGGGTTCGCCAGAGTGGCAATTGATGGTCAAATTCTGGGAAAGTATAACAAGGAGGACGAAACTAACCTAAATAAGACTATATAAAGACAAGCTCCTCAATTTGCCCTATTTAACTCGTTTCACAGTTTGAGATCACCAAGTCAAATCTATATGTATACATACAGCTCATCAAGAATAAAAATGGAAAAAAGAAGCAAAGGAAGCTTGTGTAACCTTGTAAGAGACAGTAGAAGAAGTTGATCAGAGAACTTGGGGAGAAGAGAGAGAATTAGATTGAATTAATTGGTGATGGGAGGAACCCATTAGAGATTGAGTTACACAGGTGATGAAGATGTAGCCAAATAAGATGAACAGACGATGGAGAAGTGGTGAGATGATATTAGTGGAGAGAATAAAGAACAGATGCAAAAACCCTTAAACTTGATTGATACAATCAATTAAGCACAAAGAAGAGAGGGAGAATATTAATTAAAATTAAGAAAGCACAGTAATACTAATACTAGCACACAGAAGTAAAAGACTGAAACGAAAATAGGATAGTATATTTATATAAAAATATACATAAGTAGACACAACTAATTCAAAATTACAAAGTGTTTTATGGGGTTTGGTGTTTAATAAGCAAGGCTCTGTTATGATTTGGGGGAGCTGAGGGAGGTTATACCCTTTTTTCTTGTCTCGATCTCTTTAATCTCTCTTTCTCTGTGTATATAAAAAGAAGAAGATTAGATTAGTGGCTGGTGTGCTTTTTTTTTTTTTTTTTTTTTTTTGAGAAGGAAGGGAAGGAGGGGGGGGTCTTGGGAAGGGTTAGGGTTTCGTGGGGTCGCGTGCGCGTGGGGAGGTGTCGTTCACACCGTTGCCTGGGGCCCAACAGACATGTCAATCAGGAAGGAGATCCTTTCCGAATTCCTTTTACCAAATCGTACCAATTAATAAATCTGAATTTTTAAAATTTGATTAAACAATTAAAATTATTGTAAGCTTTAAAGAGATCTTTTATTTCTAGCCGTTAAATCAAATTTCAAGAATTTAGATTTATTAATTAATAAAATTTGATAGAAGGGATCTGGAGAGAATTCCTTTCAGTCAATCAGCACTATTTGTGTGTTTTGTCTGCGAGTGTGCATCCGTGTGCGTCACAGTACCAAGAAAAGCTGGAGAGGACTGAAAGTGAAACGAACTGTGGATTTGATGGATGGATGGATGGATTAATGGATGGTGTTGCTCTGGCTACAACTACTTCTTTCTCCATGGCCTTCTTTTTCCTTTTTTTTTGCAGTTTTAGTGTACAGTCTTCTTTCCTAGAATAGGTTGTAACCCATGTTTTCTTTTATTGACACACAAACAGAAAAAGGACAGTATTCATATGATTATTTTTTAAGTAGGGATAATCTCAAAATCCATACATTCGTTATTTGTCTCTCTTTGACCTAAATTAAAGAAAAAACTAATTATTTGACTGCTATTGTGCTACTTTTCTGAAAACAAAATTTTGTACCGTACAAGTCATTGATGTAAAATATCATATAAGACCATCCCTAACTTTTAAAACTTAAAAATTTTAACTTAGAAATATTTTTTTTCACTCCAATCCTTATGTGTTAAATTTTGTACTAGAGATTACTAAAGAATAAATTTAGGCTAACATTTTTAAAGTAAATTTAAAAAAAAAAATATGTAGAATATCCTAATTTAATTTTATGAATATTTTAACTTAAAAATATTTAGATTCCGATAAATATTGTAAAATCACTAAATCGACATTATGAAACTCATGGAACACTACAAAAAAATATGAAACACATAAAACAATATAAAACACATGATAGAATATAAAACATATGAAACACATATAAACCATAATTAATAAATCTTGATTAATAACTATATAAAATTGATACAAGCGATAACTAATAAACATTATAAAAATTAATACAAATGATAACTAATAAACAACATAAAAATTAATACAAAAGATAATTAATAAACAACATAAAAAATCTAATCATAATAAGGGTTTAGGGTTTATGCATCATCATCATTTGCTTGACTTGCGTTTTGACTTCGGATAAGGTATTAGATGGTGGACTTGAGATATAGGAATGAGATGGATCATCATCTTGAAATATACTCCTTGCAACATTTTTTTGCATAATTCTCTTTTATCACGGAAGAATTTCTTCCTATTTGGAGTGTATTTGTTGAGGTCCTCCTTCATTATATGAAAATCGAACATTTCTAGCTCCAATTGTAACTGCTTCTCAAAGGCCAAGCTCATACAAACCGTTTCTTCCTCCCGAGCCTCTCGGCGTTCAAACAATTTTTCAAATCCGAAAGAAATCGTTGCACCAATCAGATCTTGCATCTTTCCTTTTCTCTTTGCTTCCTTTTGCTTATCTCTTCCTGGGGGCCTTGTAAAAGAAGTTGGGGTCACCGAATTGTTACCTTGATTGCTAACCTTTGCGTTTGAGGCTTCATTAGTAAATAATGTTTCCCATTGTTGGTCCATATCGGTTTCCCACCTCGGACAATCCTTGAGGACATGATGCAACTTAAAAGTTTGGTTTTTGGGCATGTTCTTGTATTGTAAATCGTCATTGCTTTGTCACCTTATGCAAGGTATACATAAATACAATTAGTTGCAAAACAAGATTGTGTACATGAAAAATAAACTATGAACAAAGACACTCACCACTTATACGGCACTCCTTCCACTAGACATGTCATTCATGGCTCTCTCCAAGTTTCCCTTCCATAAAGTGCACGATTTGTTGATAACCTTCCATCGATCATAAATACTACCAACTTCCCTTCAGTTGGTGTTGGAGTTGGAATTGAACTTATCAACAGTTTTAGCCCACAAAACTTTTTTATTTTGATTCGTGTCAATGGCACCATCTTCACTAGTACAAACCCATGCCAAGCATAAAGCAACTTCTTCCTCATTTGACCAATTATGACCTCTAATATGATCTTTTGGCATCTTGAAAATTTTGGACATGGGAAGAAAATGAATTTGGAAGATGGTAGAAAGAAAAATTGGAAGAATTGTAGGAGAAAATTAAATTTTGTGTGGGTGTTTGAACAAATACATAGGTATTTTTATAGAGTTTTTGGGTGAATTTTAATTTGAATAATTTTTTTTAAAATTATTTTAGCCGTTAGATTGAGTTTTGGATTGTTGGATCTTTTTAAACCATTAGATTTGATCATATATATTAGATCTCAACCATTGGATTCAATGAATTTATAAATATAAAACCAAATATTAAATACATTTGAATCTAGACCGTTGGATCAACCAACGGTCAGTGCTAGCGAGCACCATTAGATTAAAGTAGAGAGCCAACAAGATCATTATTATGGCTGACAAGTGGCCAACAAGCCCACGTGGGTGGGGTCCTTGGGCTATCGAAGTATTTGGCAACCTGGCATGTTGATGCGTGGGTCACGTGAGACTTGCACGTCTGGGTTTCTATTTTCCACACGAACAAGTGGACCAACCCACTAACCCTGTGTTAAATTCTAGCTGGAATTTGCCCCACTTGAGTTTTGGGTAAAACTCATATTTGGCCCAAGGGTTTGAGCAAGTTGGGGTGGGTTTAGAATCTAAAATTTGAGTTTTACTCCAAAGGTTGGAGTAGGTCTAAAGATCGATGATGAGATAATGAGGGCTTAATGTTGGGGTTGTATGACTTGATACAAGTCCTAAATGAACATCAAACAAGTGTAGCAACAATTTACAATATAAAAGACTTGAGAAATAAAACCTTACGATCTTGATAAGTAGGTCAGGCCTGACTCAAGTGCATTGGACTTCAGTAGTTAAGTTAGGGTAATTTATAGCCCCTAGACCTAGAGAACGGACGTATTGCCTTCCTCATAGTTAAGACTGGATTTCTCCTACCATAATTTATAGTGTGTTCTTTTATGTTTGATCAGAACAGCTTTAGATTTAATTGTTGGTCCGAAATGGGAGAAGCATCAATCGAACAAATTGGTTGGGGTACGAGACAAATAGGAAGCATATGGAACAAGAACTTGGGGACATGAGAAGGATATGACGGTACCATATGAAAACCCCACCAACGCCTAAATGTCGAGAGTGTATACAACATTGTCTATTTAACTAACATCATTGAAATTGTTGAAATGCAAAGAAACCTAAATAATTTAGGAACATCAGAAATAGTACTTGTGTTATAGACATTCGACTAATATGGTACTATGGCACTATGGCAATTAGTATATGCTTGTGCAATGACAAAGCTGCTAGCAATCATGAAATTTAGTTAACAATGAATTAGTAATGGATTTGAAAAAATAACAAAATTAAGAATTGAGTCATGAGTAAGACCACTGATTACAGAATTATTGGCAGCAAATTTGGAAACATCTGATATGCATCCATGCAAGTTGTAGTTAAAATTAAAAAATAGAACCTAATAGATTTATTATGAAATAATTAAGCCCATTGGCCAGCAAAACAAAACAAGGACTGGTAAAAATTCAAATTTGTTTATACTTGAAGCAAGGAGGGAGAAGGAGACTGACAAAGATAGGACAAAGATAGGCTGAAAGGAGCAAATTCAGGAATTGGCATGTCTTAGAGTGCATGTTTCAATAACTGCTAATTAATTCAGCTTGTAATCTGGCGATAGAGATTTAGGGCTGAATCTTATTGTTTCAACTTGCAATCAAAAGTATTAAAAGTTAGAAAGGATTGTGGCTACCCACCCCCAAAGCACGCCCCCCACCCACCCACCCACCCACGCAACCGCACACACACATAATACTACAAGTGATTTACTACTCTAAGATAAATTAAGAAGAGATGAAGTTTTGAATTCGAAATGCAGTGAGTTGAAAAAGAAATCTTATCCACCAAAGTAAACCCATCGCATCCAATCCTAGCCTAACCACACCACCTCTACTATTATAATATTTTTTTTCGGAAATTATTATTAGTATTTCAAAATCTCATTTGACACTCTAAATTTTTTATAATTAGAAAGAAAATTACACTTGTGAGGAGTGTAGAATGATATTTTTGGAATGCTAATAACAGTTCCTTTTTTTATACTATCAAAATATGATACAATTTATTCTTTGAATGTGTTTAATTTAAACAATAGAAGAAATCATTTATTAGCGTGAGATTAGCCATTTATGTTTATCAAAGAAAGTGGGATCCGACATGCAAAGTTAGATTTTGTTGCAATCCAAATTAGGGAAATTGCTAATCTATTGTATTGTTAATCAAAAGGTTAAAAAATTTAATATATGACCGCTTATTATTTCATGCAACATATATATATAGACACCCCCAACACATTTGTAATGTAGAGTTGACGACAATGATATCCAACAAAAAAAGAACAAATGAAATATACATGGTGGAGCATCCAAGGTATACTTTCCCAAAGCTTATTTGGCACCACATCTCACTACCACAAGGAGAAAAACTTGGCTGTTCTCTTTTGGCAATTATACTGTTTTTGTTTTTCCAACTCATCATTAGCGACCTTGTATATGTAATGATGAGTCCTAAATGGAACAAAAGAGTATATTGCCGATGTATGTAAGTTTTCCTTCACATAAAGGTCGGATCCTGTTGTTCCTTCAGCACTGATACTACTTTGTTTCTTTCGCATCATTAGCGGACTGATATGTAACCGAGTTCTACATGAACAAAAGAGTACTCTATTACTTCCGATGTACGTAAGTTCTTTTTTTTTTTTTTCCTTTGTGGTAGCTATTGTTTTAGGTT